CCCCGCCACCGACCTGCAAGCCCTTGGTGCCAGGTAGCCAGTCAGAGCTCCTGGAAGGATCTGTGTCCTCAGCTCTTACGGAGTTGTGGCTACACCCCTTTTAATCTTTTTCTGATTTTTATCTTTTGCCACTTGACAGCAGTTCTTACTTGCCCTCTTCTCCCACTACACCTCCTGCCATCACTAGCAGTATCCACCTATCTACCTGCATTAGTGAGAAATCTTGTAGTCCTTTATCTTTCCCTCTTTAGGAGGGAGGAGGGGTCCACATTAGTGAATTGGAGAGCCATAGGAGGTCCACATTAGTGAATCGCAGGACAGCAAATGCCAGCTACCATAAAGATCTGTATAAAGTGTGGAAGGTCTCCAGGCAGCTCTTTGCAGGCATTTTGCTCCCTGCCCTGTGCGGGAGCCACATTGTGATCTGCATCCTTTATTCCTCCACCCCAAGTGAAAAACCAGGGTGGCTGTTCTTCACTAGAGGATTTGAGGCCCCTGTTACCAGTTCTCACTTAGCCTGTGGTTTTAGAAAGGAGGAGGGAGGAGGTGGGAAAGTGGTGGGAAAGTAAGGGGAGTGTTAGGGGGTGCATGGTTTCTAAGAGGTGCAAGCTGTAGGCATAAAATTACTGTAATTTGTTTTTAAAATTCTAAATCTGTTTTCTTTATATATAAAAAAAACTGCAGTTAGTGAACTGACACTGTTAAATAAGTTGAAGTGTACAAATGTATACGTAAAATACAAGCCCTCCAACTGCCTAATCACAGACATAAAATAATTCTCTTGCTTTTAATGTAGTTTTTATCTTTGACTAATGAAATGTATTACAATGTTGAAACTTCAGTGAAGTTTGATACTTTGTCCTTTTAGTTAGTACAAAGAAATCAGGAATAATGGCATAATTTCATTTAGGAAAATTATTAAGTTCATGATTTTTTATTTTTAAGACTCTTTTGTGGAGAGCAAGTATATTTTTCAACTACCTTTTTCTTTTTCTATTGCTTTTATACTACTTTCCTTGAAATGAAAGGCAACCATCAAGTGTTGGTTTTATCCTGTGGCTTCACTTTGGAAATTCTCCGACTGTTTTTCTCCCTGTCAAGACACCTCCTG